TCAAAAGAATTAAAAGCATCATATGTCAGTGATATACGCACACTCATGATTATAGCAGTATAGTTTGTAATAGCTAAATCTTATAAACAGCCCAAATGCCCATCAACCAATGAGTGGATAAAGATTTTTTTATATACAATGTAGTACTACTCATCCATAAAGAAGGATAAGCTTGAGACATTTCTAGCAAAATGGATGCACTTGAGTCCACACTCTTAAGTGAAATAAATCAGACACACTTGTTTAAGTACCACATTGTTTCTTCGGTGTGAGAAACCAAAAGTGTAAATAAGGACCAGAATATGTAATAGATATTGGAAAAATGTTCAAATGAGAAGGAGAACAAGGGAGGGAGAGGGGGAAAGAAGGAAGGGGAAAAAATGAGAATAGAAGGGAAAAAATGGAAACAACGCTTTTGTAAATAAGGAGAGGAAGAGGGGTTACAGTGAGGGGAGGGGAATGGGGGAAAAAAAAGCCAGGTATATCATGTACAGGCACAAATTCCCCATTATGTACATCTAAAATGAACTAAGACAGAGAGAGGGAAAGAAAGCAAGCAAGAGAGAGAGAGGGAAAGAAAGAAAGAAAGAAAGAAAGAAAGAAAGAAAGAAAGAAAGAAAGAAAGAAAGAAAGAAAGAAAGAAAGAAAGAAAAGAAAGAGAAAGAGAAAGAGAAAGAGAAAGAGAAAGAGAAAGAGAAAGAGAAAGAAAAAGGAAACACAAGGAAGTAACCGTCGTTAGCACAGGTGATGGATTTTTAAACCTGCAGAGCTGTGACCTTGCTATGCATGACTTCTCTCAGCCTCCCTCCTTCCGGTCTCCTTGGAAGCTGCAGACTCACAACCCTTGCAGGGAAACATTGCCTTCGCTGTTATCTCAGTTTCCCAGCACGTAGCTGATGACGGCTCACAGCAGGCACACAGCGATCTGGAGGCTGGGATCCGTCCCTCCACATGGGGAGTGGCCACCCACGGCGGAGCTTCTGAACTTCCAGCGTGCGAGTGAATCATCCATGACCTCAGTGATCTTCTTTTTCTTTTTCCCGGTACTGGGGATTGAACCCAGGGCCTTTGTGCTGAGCTATATCCCTAGTTCCTTTTTTATTTTTTATTTTGAGACAGTCTCACTAAATTGCCCAGGCTGGTCTCAAATTTCCTGTCTTCTGCCTCAGCCTCAAAGCCTCCCTATTGATTTTTTTTTTTTCCAGTACCGGGGATTGAACTCAAGACCTTGCACTTTTCAGGCAGGTGTGGTAGCACTGAGCTAAATCCCCAGCTCTACTGATCTTAACATACAGATTGTGACGAGTGTTCAGAGCCAGCCTGAGACTTTGCCTTTCCAGTAGGACCAGTGATGTCCACACTGCAGGTCCATGAGCAGAGTCCAGCGAGGCTGCCCAGTTCTGCAGGCTTCACGGGCTGCTGATGCCTGGTGCCCTCCCGCAGCTCTGACCTCACTGGTCTGGGGTATCATCTGGGATCAGGCTTCCAAATCTGTCCTTTTGATTCCAATGTGCAGCCCTAGCTGAGGACCTCTGCTCTGAATAGATGGAGTGACCCTGGCACTTGGGGACAGGCCCCCATCATTCTGCAGACTGCACCGTCCCCAGTGAGGGAGCCGTAAGTATAGGAAATCGAGGGCAGCAGATAGCAGGGACCAATGTCTGCCAACAGGAGACCCCGGACTGGGAGAAATGACTTCTACGAACCATGCCATTATCTGGGATGAGTGCTGATTTTCATCCTTTAGTTCCACCCCTGCCATGAAGCCAGGACCTGAGTGACTTCATTCTAAAGACACCAACTGTAAAAAGCTAATATTTAAGAACTGAATGTCCTTTTCAGGATGCACTCTTTCTGCATTTTGAGGTGAAAGAACCTATCTAAAACAAAAACAACAATAAAAAAAACCCCTTTATTGCATAACAGGTTGTGTGAAATAAACCCCACATTACAACAACAGGAAGCTAGGGAGATGGCAGATTTATTTGTTTGTTCATGTTAAAAGGGCGACTTTGAAAATAATTCTTGTGAGGTTTGGCTGTGCTCTGCAGCTCATGAAATATGTAATGTCTGTCTCTTGGGCATGGCAAACATCTCCGGCTCCCAGGGTCTTACCAACACTCGTTGGAGGTTTTGGTTTTGTCTGTGGGAGGCTTGGGGAAGGGAAGGCACCGTGTCTGCTTGGAGGTGGTGACAGATGAGAGTCAGGAACAGATCCCTGCAGTGATCATACTGCAAACATACAAGGTTTGTTTTGGCTCAGAGCTTTGGAGGTTTCAGTCCATGCCCCATCAGGTCTGTTGCCTTTAAACCTGCTGGGAGGTAGCAAATCGTGGCAGGCACAGGTGGCAAAGCCAAGCCACGCAGCTCATGGCAGGAAGGGAAAAGGAGAGCAAGGGAGGCAGGGTCCTTCTATCCCCTCCAGGACACACCCCCAGGAACCTAACTTCCTCCTGCAGGTCTTGCCTCCCTAGGCACCAAGCCAAAAATACACGTGTCTTTCCAGAACATTCTAGATCTAAGTAGAAGAGAGGGTGAGTGAGCTGGGGGTAGGGAGAGGTGGCTGTGGGGACACAGGAGGGAGGTTTCCACCAGGCCGTCCCGTCGGAGGGCGTGGCTCCTGTGCCAAAGCCACCTCCCCTTATCACTCTATCGTTTTTTCTCTTTTCTGCTCTCCGTTCCACTCCTCCTTTAGACCCATATTCTTTACATTACGAAAATACCAAATATGGCATAATCTGAGAGTCAACATCCCCTTTCTACCCCATCCCTTGAACAGTGGTTCTCAGCATGTAGTATGTCTAAAAACCACCTCATTTGTTACTAAGCAAATCTTCCTAGGATCCATCCCGAGGGCCTGCTTTACCAGGCCTGGGGAGATGGGGTTGGGTGTCTTCATTTTTAAGCCTCCAGCCCATCCCAGGATTCTGTGCCAGTGGCCACTGGAGTTTGCTTTAATGCATCCAGCGTTCTCTTGAGCACCCCTGCTGCAGGGGCTGTTGTGCGACCTTTCGTGCTTATCTGCATATGTCTATGTGTAGGAGTGTGTGCTTGCCGTGTGACAACGCAAACACAGCTCTACCTAAGGATGGATGGTATATATTTAGTTCTCCCAGTCGGTCCCAGAGCCATAAGCCCGAGCTCCTGTCTAGTAAACAGCAGCATTTCACTAGACAAACTCTAAGAAGGGTTAGAGCCTCCATACGTGCTTTCTGCAGTGCCAACCTCGTGACCTCTCCATCTGACAAACCAGCACTCACAGACACACACAAAGCCGCTCCTCACTGCCAGCAACATCCTAGAAGTTCCAGCCTGTGTTTGCCTGCAGTGAGCAGCAGGTTATGCTTCCGGCTGCCCCATAAATAGACTTCAGCCTTCGATCATTAGATTCCCTGCAATTATTAGTACTTCGAGGTGAGTCAGTACCTTGAGGGGTTCTCTCTGTGTCTTGCTGGTCCGACTACTAGGATTGGTTCTCTAATAAAACCAGATCCAAGACCACAGGGGTCGAAGAGCAAAGGTCTGAGATGAATTCACCTCTCCCTTTGCCAACTGTATGTGTAAATAAAATGACACAGTGAAGTTGGTCATAGCAAGCTGTCAGCAAATTCTTTCATTCGGCAAGTCCTTACTGAGCACCTGTTATCGCACCCAGTTGGATTCCTGGTCAGACTCTACTTTCCTTGGCCATGAGCAGGGTTGGCCAGGACCCCGGGAGCCGCAGTGCAGCAGCATGTGAACAGTACATCGCTGCTGGGTGGAGCTCAAAGGCTGCTGGTAGCCACATTGTTATCATTGCCATTTCGGGCCACCTATTACCCAGGAGCTGTAAACTGATTTGCCTTTGTGATGGAACTAGGTGAGGAGGCTGAGCTGCATAAGAGGCAAGATGCTGAGGCAGCTTATCTGGGCATCAGGTGATGGATATGCTCTATTAGAATCAGTCACAATTGGGGTTGTGATAAATTCACGTCTCCATGTATGACTTTTTGGATCAGTGCTTAAATATAAATCTATCCAATACCCATCAGAGTTGTCAGTTCCTTCAAGTGGAAAATGAGACAATTCTGGCTTGAGTGTGCTCATCTTTCTCAGGGGAGGAACACTGGAGACCTCAGTCTCCCACCCAAGTCCTCAAGTCCAGTGTGCTGAGCTGGGCCACACAGCCGGTGAGATTCTGAAAGCAATTAATGCATGGTTTAGGGTGTTCCCTGGGACCAAGCGGTTTGTTTAATTGCATAAATTTTTAATTCATTAATACATATCCAAGAAGTTGTGTCCAGAGAATTGCCAAAGAAAACCCAGAGACAGTAAGGACTCCAGAAAAAGAAATAGAAAGTGTTTTTGGAACAGTGAGAGCCAAGAACCAATAATTTTGAAAATCTATTTTGAAGACGCTTTGGTTACATCAATTTTGTGTGTGAATGATTAATTGTAATCCAATCTCAAATGGTGGAAAGACTGTTAAATGAAACCTAACACCACATACAGTGAGTTTAGATACCATGCTATCTTAGAGCCCTTGGTGAAAAGATATATATACATTTTCCTAAAAGAAAATCCTTAAGTGAATGTGGAATAAATATTAAAGGCATATTGGCTTAAGTGGGCCCCATTTTTAGTTGCTCAATAGCCTCCCATCTAGGGCCAGCCTGGTTGGGTTGAGACCCTGGGCGATTTGTCTCAGATAAGATCTCAGTCGGTGGGGTTGATACTCACTCACTAATTCAGGAGATGTAATCCGGTGCTTGTGCATTTGTTTCCTAATGAAAATCACCTTGTAGGGCACCTATGCTGCGGTATGTAGCAGCAATGCAAAAGTGAGCTAGCTTCACCCTGCACTCACAGAGGTGCAAGCAGAGAGAAGAGGTCAGTGTGGTGTCCAGGTCCATTAACATCTGGCCCAGCTGCCTGAGGGGCAAAGGTGAGCTTCCTCCCCTCCCCCTCCCCTCCCCTCCAGCAGCCAGCCCCTGTCTTGCCTGCTCACCGAGAAGCGTGCCTGGAGAGCTCCCGGGGCCATGAGGCCGGAGCCCCAGCTGCCCCTTTAGTCAGGAGAAACAGAATAAACATCAGGAGGCTGTTTTCCAAAACCGGTTTTTAAAAGCCCAGGCACAATGAGAGCACACTGTGCCTCTCAGTGCTTGTGTTGCAGAAACGGTTTTCACGGAAGGGCTCTGTTTCTCCCTTCTTTTCTTTCCGCTTCCTGGCGGCGGCGGCGTCCACACACCGACCTTTCACCTTCCCACTGCGGTCGCAGGCAGGACTTCCAAGATCAAGTGCATTGTCCTGGGGACGTGGCCCAGTGACCAAATAGCTTCTGTGTTCTGCGCTTTTCCAGGCCAGGACGGCATGCCAAAGGGGTGACATCACAGGGGAGCGAGCAGCCGGCCCTCCCTCCGCTTCCTGCTTCTCTCCTCCTGACAGAGCCGGGAATAACGTAAGTTTCATCATGTGACTGCAGCTCAGCCAAGGGTAATCAAAACATGAAGTCCCGAGTTGCTTTTTTCTTTGCAGAAGCGGAACACACGTTCTTGTCTCCGGGGAGAGGGCTCCACCTGGCTTATCTGGGAGCGCTTTGGCGCGCACTTGGATCCACCTGAAAAGCTGGGCGCCCACCATTCCGGGGCGAGGCGAGGCTCCAGCCAGGGCGGCGACGGGCCCTGTGAATACTCTCGGCACACGTGGACCACGCGTTAGGGGAGGCTTCCCCAAAAGTGATCCCAGCTGAGTGCTTCAAGACCTTTACACTGTGAACAGCACTCTGTGACCTCGGTTAGGCCCTCCGCTAGGAGACCTTTCCCCTCCTGTCTGTCCCTGCACCTCCACCCCCTGCCTGCAGGTAAAAGCGCTGATTAGAGAAGGAAAATTGAGCTAAGAATTTGGACCCATGAGCTTGAAACTAAATTACCAGTGACTTGTACTTGTCAAGAAGGTATAGGGTAGGAGCTATTCAGGTACTCAGCTCCCTGGAAATTGTCCTTACTTGATTACAAACACGTTGCTAAATTTATCGATCACTTGCTATATGACAAGCTCGGCTATAAGGGTTTTACTTGCACTGACTCAAGGTTAGTCACACAACCCTGTGGGACTGTCACTTTACAAATGAGGAAACTGAAGCACCGGGTGGTGTCTGACTTCAGGCTGGGCAGAGCCCATCTCAGAACCGGGATTTGTGGTGAGGATTCTGAACAACTGTGAGTGTTTATGTGCGCCAGGTAAAATATTATATTGTAATATTATAAGTGAGCCTCGTGGTTATTAAAAGGCAGACATGAATTTCAGAAATACCGTGGACATTTCAGTGTAGTCATACTGAGCATGAGATTTGACATTTGTGTTTATTGGAGCCACACTGATGCGATGTGAGAATGTGCAACACGAAATCCACGCATGCACAAATTCAACAGACACTGCTGTCTAAAACTGCTGGGTGCTGGGTGCTGGGTGGCCCGGTCAGACCCGCGTCTCAAGCTAGTTCCAGAGTAGCCTCTGCCTGCAGGTCCCCTGGGCCTTTGGTCTACTTCGACCGCATAATGCTGTTTGCTGAAAATCTCAATCAGGCCAGTCTTGTCCCTCTTTACCTGGCTTTCTTCTGACTTCTGAAAGTAATGGTTTTTCTGGAGAAAGGTAGTGATCACTGAATTCTGTTATCCCAGCACTTGCGAAAAAGGGGAGGGGTGTTCTTTGGCCTCGGGGCCTAGAGGTCAGACAGTAGCTTCAGTACTGTGGGTCCCGCTTCGGTTGACCAATGAGTCCTGGGAGCCCAGTGTCCTCCCCTTCTCCACCGCTGTGACGGCTGCCCCAGAGCCTCCCAGGGAAGCATGCTGTGTCTAGTTTTGCTTCTAAATGAGAGGCTGCAGATCACACTAGATCTTCTTGTATTCATTTATTTTTCAGTTGAGATAAAGTATCCATAACATAAAATTTCCTATTGGCCATATTTTTCTGTCATCATTTATTTTGCTACGTATTCAAGGGCAAATGCTCCCGCATTACTTGTAAGTGCTACATGGTAGAGTGGCAGCTGCTAAAATACATAAGCAAAAATCTCCTTCCAGACTGAGTAGACTGCTGGTTTTCTACCTTTGTTTGTTTTCAATTTATTTCCTTTTACAAAAACAGTGTTCCATGCCACATAGTAACTGTACCTATCTATGGGGTACAGCGGGGTGTAGTGTGGTCTTTCAATGTGTGTTTACAGTGTGCAGGATCGGACTGCGGTAAGCGGCACTTCCATGCCTCAAATACTGGTCATTTCTTTGTGTTGGGAATGACTGAGATCCTCCGCTATTTGAAAAGATACGGGTAACTGTGGTCCCCTGCAGGTACCGATGTGCAAGAGGACATCCTGCCCACCCAGCTGCAGCCCTGAGCTGTTCTCCCGACCATCCTTTCTCCACACCTCCTTTTTCTAACCCTTCCCAGCCTCTGGGAGCCGCTTTTTACTCTCTGTTTTCGAGCTCTGCCTTTTTCAAGCTTCTACATAGAAGTGAGAACGTGTGACAGTTGTCTTTCTGTGCGCGGCTTGCTTAATGTACCGTCCTCCGGGCTCAGGTATGGTATACAAATGACAGAATTTTGTTCCTTTTTGTGGCTGAATAGTATTCCGTTGTGTATATACTATGGTTTCTTTATCCATTAATCTTTAATCCATCAACTGACACGTAGGTCATCTTAACCATTTTTAGGTTATATAGTTCAGGGATGCATCTGTCTCCAGAATCTACCTCTAGAATGCTTCCGTCTTCCCAAACTGAACCTCTGACTGCACATTTTCTGCCTTCCCGTCAACCCTGGAGACCGCCGTCGTCCCTTTCTGTCTGGATGAATTCGGGTACTCGAGATTTCACTCGGAAGTGGCCTCATTCAGTAGGGGTGTGGGTGTGTAAGAGCGAGCCTGCTGACGTGACGTAGCATAGTGTGGCTGAAGTTCTTCCGTGTTGCAGCAGTCTTCAGAACCTCCTTTCCGTCTGAGGCTGGCTCACAGCGCCTCGGTGATGACTGCGTTTTGTTCATCCAAGTACCCATGCGTGCACATGGTTGCTTCACCTCTTGGCTACTGTGAATAATGCTGCCAGGAACACAGGTACACGGATACCTGTCCGAGTCCCTGCTTTGAACCGCATTGCGGGGAGGGGATATGTACACACCTGGAAATGGAACTGTTGTATCACATGGTGATTTACTTTTTTTGAGGAGCTTTTATACCATTTTGCTTTTTTTGGTGAAAGGCTACATAGGATTAGCAGGTGCCTTTGCCAATTCCTATCGTTAAATCTGAAGAGAAAGATCGTAATAAACTCAGACTTCACGACGAACCTGAAGTAATTCACCAATGGGGTTGCAGTTTTGCCATTTCTTTCTCATATGTCCACTTATTGGGGAAACCCTAGGAGCTTTCTCCTCCTTAAAGACCAAGGGAAAATAGTGTAGGATTCCGAGTGCATAGTCAGCATTGTGATGTGAAATCTGCAATGGAAGGAGAGGTAGGAGGTGTGCTGTTGGGGAGAGATTGCAAATGGATAAAACCATTGCTTTGGTCCCATCTTCCTGGCATTTGCTTTCTAAAATTGATGAGTCCACGCCCCTGGCTTGTTGCACAGATGGCCCAGGAGTCAGACAGTGACCAAGATGAGCTTGAGGCCCGGAGAGGGCTGGTGAAGCCCAGGAACCTCGAGAACCCATATCCCGTCCATTCCTGGCCTCTGGTCCCATGGGGATGGAGGCCAACCTTTCCAGGTCTAATTTCCAGGGAAAGCCAGAAACTTTGATTTTTTTTAAAATGTGAAATATTCCAGTTTTTAAATGCTAGCCACTTATTCAGGAAGAAAAATGTCAGATCTACACAGACCAAATAAAACACATCCGGGGCTCCACAAAGCCTGAGAACTGTTCTCCCCCAACACAAAGGCCACAGTGAGGATCCTGCTTCCCCAGGGTGTCCGTGGAGAAGGAATGAGTGATGCCAGGAAACCGAAACAGAGTGGATCTCCAGGAAACAAGTGAAGCCACAGCTTCTGGCCCCTACTTCCCTGGGCGCCCTCTCTGGGGCCATATATTTTGTAGTAATTTCCAAGGTAAGAAATTTCAACCACAAGTAATTGTTGTTTCTCTCTCCTAACTTCCCCTCACATTGGGTAGCACTGAACTGGCTGTAGATATTCTTTGGACACTGCAAAGAGAAAGTTGAATTGAGAATGCACCAAGTCTGACTTGAGAGGAAGGTTTTAGTGGTACTGGGAATTGAACCCAGGACTTTCACACTGAGCTGTGTCCCTAGCCAGCCTTTTAAAAAATTTATTATTTTGAGATTGGGTCTTGCTAAGTCCACTAAGTTGCCCAGGATGAGCTTGAAATTGGCATACTCCTACCTCCCCCTCCCAGCATGCTGGGTTATAGGGGTGCACTACCACGCCCAGCTGGGAGAAGTCTTTTCTGAAGTTAGCACATGTAATGCTTTGGGCCATACCAAAAGTGCTCCACTCTGACCCTTGCCTGGCTTAGCATTGTCGGGAGCAATGCTACATAATTTTGGGGAAAACTCATTTGGTTAGCCTAGTTCTCCTGCCTACAGCCCAGCTATGGAATTCCGAGAAATAATTCCATTTTGGCCTCCGGTCACCACTGAGACCTCAATGATCCGGTGATGCTGTGATGCTCCAGGACAAGATTACACCAGCTAAAAACATCCTGGGAGGAACAAAATCTTCATCTACTCAGTTCCTCCTGGTTCTTGGATTGTTACATCTTGTTTACTGGGATGTACTGAACTCTCTGCAAGTCATCTGTTACATTTGTTTCTCCCTGTGCAGTAAGCCGGGGGCTTTGTCTTTGCCGCCCAGAGCAGCACTGATCAGACCCAAAGCTCTGCTTCTTCTCAGTCTCATTTGTCTACCTTTCCTGTCATTTGCCGTGTGCTCCCTGGGCTCGCAGGAGAGTAGGACTCACTGCAGAGGTTCTGGTAACGTCCCCTTTCCCTGTTCCCTATGTAGCATGAGAAGTCCTCCAGCTGAACAACTGGGCCCACCAGAGCCCAAGCCCTAATTTCTACTCCATACTGTGACGTGAGTTTCTTGCCTGACCCGGGAACCCCCCATCTGCAGGGAGGTCCCACCCCACTCTCCTGAGGATGACAAACTCCACTGCTGGTGCCTGCATCCCTGGGGTAAGAGCTGTCCAAGAGGTGGGTGTTCAGAGGACATGGCCGTGATGTGGGCGTGCAGGGGAAGGTGCAGGAGGAGGCTGGAGGGTACCCTATGGCCATACACAGCTGCCCCAGCCAGCAAAAAGGCATAGTTTTTAAGGAAGGAGTGGGTCACATGTTTATTTAACAGTTTACTCATTTCATTTACAGTGTTCATCTTACATGTTTGGACATGTGGTCTAGAGACCATTTATATGTACTCAACCCCTGACCTCACAAGCATAAGGGGTCCACATGGGTCATGGGGGCTTTTGCCAGTAATGGTTTCGGTCATTCTGCTGCATGAACCTTGCTGCAAAGCTCCGAGGCATGATACAAACGTTTGCAGGACAGAAATCTACCCAGGGAAAGCTTGTTTGTGCTCAGCAATGTCCAGGGCCTCAGCTGGAGGACTCCGTGCTGTGGTGACTGTGGAGGCGGGCTGGGTGCCAGCAGTGCTCTTCAGAGACGGAATCAGCAGGGTGCATGTTGCTGTGGGAAAGGGGTTGTTGGGGGAATCCTTCACAGGCTTGCAGCAGCTGTGAGTCCCACAATAGGTCTTCTCTAGGTTGGAGACGCTAAGGTGCTAGCACCAGGGCTCAGTCCGAGTCCTAAAACCTCAGAACCAGGAAGCTGATGCCGGTGCTCTCGGTCTGATGCCCAAAGCGGAAGTACCCAGGGAAAGGCTGCTGTTGTCGATCCTGAAGCCCCAAGGCAAGCAAGCCTGGAACGCTGAAGTTTAAGGCAGGAGATGAACGTGTCCTGGCTCTCGGGTCCCTTCTGTATTTGCTCTTTCAAGGCCCCCGGCCGGTTGGGTGCTGCCCATTTTCACTGAGGGCAGCTGTGCCCCACCTGGTCCGTTCAGACTTACATGCCACCCTCCTCTGGTGACACCTGCACAGATGTCCCCCAAACAATGCTTCCCTGGGTTTCTAGGAGTTTCTTAATCAGGTCAAGCTGACACCTGAAATTAATCAGCACAGGCTGGCACCGGGTGGAGGCTGCACACTCACGGGTCTGGGTGTGACCAGGTGCCAGCTGGGACCCCAGTGGGCCTGGGACCACAGCACTAGGCCTGGTTGGCTTCCTCTGACCTCAGGCAGGACTGCGAAGGTGTGCTCCCCAGGGAAGGCAGCAGCGACACACACAAAGCCTTTTCTGCCCCTTGTGGGTTACAGCCAGGTTACCAGAAAGGAGGTGGAGACCTGGCTCTCGACAGCAGGCGTGTCAGAGTATCCCGGGGCCATGTTCCAAAGTCACCACGCAGGTCCAGACGGTGTTAGGCATTCTGGTGTTGGCTTGACGGCCAGGAACACATCCAGTAGCCAAAGAGCATAGCAAGGAAACTTGAAATCTGTTGAAATTTTACAGCTTCTACATAGAAGAAATGGCTATGCTTCTTAATAGATTTCTATGAGGATTTCTCCATGCTGGAAAAATCCTAAGAAATAAAATGGGAACTCAACCACCCCAGGGATGTGAGCCCTTGAATAAATGCTTTCCCTTTTTTTCCTCATTTATTTATTCATTTGGAAATAAAATTCTAAACATTTATATCATTATCAGTTATGAATTTTTGAAATTGAAAAAAATTAAAATATTCATAATAAAAACTTAAATTTGAACTGGGAGTGGTGGTGAGCACCTGTAATCCCAGCCCTGAGCACAGCTGACCCAGGAAGATCACAAGTTTGAGTCGCACGAGGGCAATTTAGCAAGGCTGTATCTCAAGAGAGAAAATTTCCTAAAGGGTTGGGGATGTAGTGGTAGCGCAGGTCTGGGTTTGGTCCTCAATACTGCAAAACAATAATAATAACAATAATAATTTTGATCAACCATGCTCTAGGAAAGACCGAATTATATCTTTCTGTAGAAAACATCCCCAAAGTGTTACTATAAGGAGAGGTGATACAGGTTATGCCCTCAAAATCTGCAGGTGTTTCTGACTATTCCACCCCGCCCTATGACTTCCTCTAACTATTCTTACTCTGGATACAAAGTAGTGATTGCTCTAGAGAAGGAGAGACCCACGTGAGCAAGCGCAGTCCCGGAGAGCTTTTCGGAGAGAAGGGATTTCAGTGCGTAGGGGAGGGTGGGGCGCGGGCAGTGCGTGCAGCCCGTCTTGCCAGTTACGCTGCCCGCAGTCTGATTGGCTCAGCTCCGTGCTGAGTGGCCAGCGCCTGCCTTAACGGTTGGCAGAGGTTTGCTGTTATCTATCAGGCGGAGTGAACGGTGACAGCCAGGGCATCGGGAAGGAATAAAATCTTGGCCCATTTATCACAGGTAAGGAAACTGGCCTAGCTTGGGTCCAGCTGGGGCAGTTACTGGAAATACAGTTGTTTAACCATAGTAAAACTAATTGTGAAGGATGGAATTCGGCGTATGATCCTGGGGGCGCAGCAGCGAGAAACGAAGCCTTTCAGGAAAGGGAGGACAAATGGTTGTTTTTCTCTAGGGAGATTACTGCAGTAGTTGACTGAGGAGGAACTAGGAAGACCTTTCTAAGAGGTGATTGCCGTGATCCAGGCCATGAACTATCAAACTCGAACTAGGAAAACAGGGATTTGGACCTGTGCGGGCACCACTCCCTTAGCTAACTAAGCTGGGTTTCTTTAGCCCATCCTGGATCCTTTGAGGGGAAATCTTACGCCCCTCTTAGGATGCCTGGGTCTTACGTCTGTCTGCTCACCGCCGCGTGAATGGCCCAGCCGCCAGCTCCCGGCCGCAGCTGCCTGGCGGCACCTCTTCTCACCTCCGCCCGGCTTCTCTGAGGCAGTGGCTGCCGGGTGTCTGCAGCAACGCCTTGAGCACCTTGGGTCGGTTCCTTAACATCCATGACCCCTGGGGATGGAGGCCTTGGACAAGTGCTTTCCCTCTGCCCACACCACATGGTTCACAGGCTTATTTCAAAGAGCTTTCAGATGTTCCTGCAGGATCACACACAGGGTGCTATAGTTTGGATTGGGAACACCCTTCAAAGGCCATGTGTTAAAGGCTGGGTCCTGAGCTTGCCATTGACCATGGACTGAAACCTCCAAATCTTCAACAGAAGACAAACCTTTCTTCTCTATAAGGGGGTGATCAAGGTAGTATTTCTTACAGTAATGGGATGCTAAGACAGTAGTTACCTAGCAACATAGCCACTTAGGTTGCGTTGGCTTTCCTCCTGCAGCCCTCCTCCTGCCCTGTGACCTCATTCCCTGATAAGCCACCATGTGCAGACCTTGGTCCCCTCCGGCCAAGAGAGAACAGCATTTCCACCTTCATTCCTGAATCTGCCATGTTTCTGGACTCACATAATGCTCTGCCCCATTAAAAGCATCAAGTCCTCACAGCCCACTGTTATGTGCACTATTTAGTATCTCCTTTTGAAAAGATAACTTGTAGATCCAACAGAATCCCATACATGCAGCAGTGGTTCTCAGACTATGGGGAGATGATTTTATAAATTGCTGGAAAGAGAAGAGAATTTAGTCCTGAGATCTAGACTTGAACCATGCTACCTGTGGGGCTACTGACAGAGCAAATGGTAAACGTCTCCAATCCCTTAATATTTCCATCTATAAAACAGAGAAGTATTATAGGGTGCAGCTCAGTTGGAGAGCTGCCTAGAGTGCATGAGTCTCTGGGTTCAGTCCCCAGCACGCAAGTGTGTGCGCACACGCGTGTACACACACGGTAAAAGATTTGATAATGAAATTCAAAGCACTCCTATACCCGTCAAATATGCCAAGCAATTGTGTTGTCAGGTAGCTCCTTCTAGAAACACCTTGTCAAATAAACTTACCAGGTTTTGGGGGTACTCACCTCTTGGTTTCCAGGTTCTTCTTGTCTCAAACAAAGAACTGAAAGAAATAAGGCCAAAATGGTGACAAGGTTTATTTGAAAAGTGTAGGTAAAGGGTGAGGGAGAAATTGGCTCTGCAGAATGAAATCGGGAGCAAAAGAGGGAAAAATAAAAGCAAAAAAATAAATGTATGCCTGGAGGACACAAGGCAGAATACCACGAGGAGAGCCACAGTAGCAAGCTCGTCATGGCGTGGGTCCTTTTATGTCATTCTCACCTCATGGGAACCTGAGAACTTCCACACGTGGGGTCCTGAGAGAAGGCCGGGCTTAGATTCTAGGACACGCCCCCTCCCCAGGCCCCTCTCTTCCCGGCCAGTCTAAGCCCCGCCCTGTCGCCTGTCTCAGTTGCTGATTCAAACCCTCGAGTTCTGTTCTCCCTTCCTCCTGCTGACACAGTCCCCATCTTTGTGTGCATGGGGATTCTCCTTTCCCCACAGCTTCTCAGGTTTTCTCCTCCTCCCATGCCCAGCTCCGGGGTAAGCTCTGACTGACTTAAGGACTGTTTGCCATTTTCCTGACCACCTTGATTGGAAAAGCCAGGAAGTCAAGTGGGAGGTCTAGGAAGGGAGCCCCGCATTCTTAGAGAGTGATCCAGCAACAGCTGCAATCACGCTGTGGCCTAAGGAATTTCAACCTGGATGAAACAGCAAGCGAGACGGTGAGATTGCTAAACTCCTGAAGCAAGCCGAGTGCACAGGCCTCAGGGCCTCTGATCAGTCCAGATAAGGGAGTCATTAAAGATGTTAGAGAAGCCAGTTTGAGTCAGGCTTTCTCTCTCCTAGCATGGAGAGACTCTCAACTGGAAGAGTGTGTAAACAAGCTCTGTAACGCGCAAATCACTTTGAAGCATTTTTTACAGTTATTACTAATTAGCAAACAGACCAGTGGCCCATGGAGCCAGCTGAAAGAAGTTCTAAGATTTTATGTTAATTTAGTTTACCATCTTCTTTTAGAAAAAAGTTACCCTGCTGAAGTGGAAGGATCACAAGTTAAAGGCCAGACAGGGTACATAGTAAGTTCAAAGTCAGCCTGGAAAACATAGCAGGACCCTCTCTCAAAGCCACCCCCATCAAGAAGAAAAGAAAAACATTTAGATCACTGCTATTATAATTAGAAGTAGATTCCAACTAGAATTATATATATAAGTAAATATATGTACATATATGTACACAATTGAAAGCCTATAAAACTGCGTTTTAAAATAGTTGTAAAACATGTCATCAAAGAAAATGCTATATAAAAATAAACATACAAAAACTGATATCCTAAAATAACATAAACAATGTTACAATGTAAATAACAAGCTGAGGGGAAGAGTTGGAACTTATATGACAGATTAAGGGGGTGATATTCTCTGTAAACAGAGTCCTGATAAGTCAATAGGAAAGAACTAATCTCAGTAGAAAAATCAGTAATATAGGGCGCAGCTCAATGGTAGAGTGACCCAGAGGGCATGAGGCCCTGGGTTCGATCCCCAGAAACACACACACACACACACACACACACAATAGGTAAAAGATACAATCATGAAAGTCAACATGTGAAAAGATGGTAAACTTAAGCTCAAAGTCAGGGGCCACTGACTGAGAGAATTAGAGAGACAGCCAGGTTGCTTACTGTGTAAATCCCTTGATGGTAATGCATTCCTCTCATGCCAGGCTTCTGGGTGACAAGGAAGGGCCCGGCAGGTGACAGTGCTGTCATGTTTAGGAAGGAAGGAAGGAGAAAAAAGGAAATCAAGTAGAAAGAAGGAAGGAAGAGAGGGAGAAAGAGGACAGGGAAGATGGCTTCCCAGAGAGGCATGACAGGAGAAAATAACTCCCCATGCAAAACACTAGGAATGGAGAACTTCCACAGGGAGAAGCAGGTGAACCAAAGGAAGTCAGTCTTTCTCAGCGTAAACACCTGCTGAAGGTGATCAGAATTGGCTCCTTGACAAGTCTGAGCAGGAGTCACTGGTACTTTGTCGGGTTCTGGCTGTGGGGCCAGTGGCCTCCTCCTTCCCCTCCACTACCCAGCTTGGGGTTTCTTGTCCCTATGCCCTGCCTCCCAGCCCTTTGGACTCGCCTTTGAGCTAAGCTGATAACACGTCAGCCTGTGCTGAGCAGCCAGACTGATAGGACCCTGCCAGCTGATGGAGCCAGAGCCTCTGTTGAGCTGACGTCTCCCCACCCCCAGAAACTGGAGTTTGGAATCTTCTAGCTAACGAGACACAGGAGAAATTGCACCAACAAATAAGATTTAGATTCTTTTGGTCCCTCTTGTGATCGACTTAGATAAGTTAGGAGAAAGTTCTCATAGCTCCAATCTGCACAACTCCAAAGGATCAGAAAGTCTGTCATTTTTCACATGAAAAGACTGGGACTTAGAAAAATTATATGACTTCCCCTAAGCTCATGACAAATTTGCTTTGTGAGAACTCAGTCCTCACACCCAGGGCCCCTGAAGCGCATGCAGCATGATTTCCACTCGGCTCAGGATTTCAGAGCTCTAGGCATTTGTAGAGTGAACTTTAGACGTCTTCAATCTAAACAGAGAATTAAAAATGAGGCTATGGCACTGAACACTTACTCCAATACCTAGTATTGCTGGTATCAGTAGTGTCTCCATGTCATATAAGCAAATAGTGCAACATGTGTTCACTCATTCGTTCATCACACATTTGTTGACCATATAACATGCCAGACTGTAGAACAGAAGAACTAAAAACACATAGAAATAGCAAGGGGCCACATAACTTATTTTTTTAAATTTTTATTTCTATGGCTAATTTTTGCAGTACATAATGGCCTTGTGTGGAGTTGGAATGTGGACAGAACACATCTCCATTCCTTTTACATCCCCTTCTCCCTCTTCCCATTTGAGAAAGATCTAGCTCCCTCCTTCCTATTACCTATCTTTTGTTTTGCTCTTTATTTAAAACTTGGGTTTCTCATATAAGAGAAATCATGCAATATTTAAGCTTATGTGTCTGATTTATTTCACTTCACTTTATGGTCTCAAGGTGCATCCATTTTCCTACAAATGACTCAAGTTTATCCTTATGGCAGAGTAATACCCCATTGTGTGTAAATAACACATTTTCCTTATCCATTTATCTGTTGATGGACATATAGGCTGCTTCCAAGAACTAGATATTATGAGTTGTGTGGCTGTAAACCTGGGTGTGCATGGACCACTGTAATATGATGTCTTTAACTCTTTCAGGAAGATACCTAGAAGGGGAATAGCTGGGTCAAAGGAAAGGGAATTTAGTTTTTTGAAGATTCTCCATACTGATTTCCATAGTGGCTTTATGAGCTTACATTTCCAACAGCAATGTAGAAGGGTTTCTTTTTCCCCAAAGCCTCACCAGCATTTGTTATTATTTAATTCTTTGATGATGGCCATTCTTTCTGGAGTAAGATGGAATCTCAGTGTTATTTTAATTTGCATATTTCCAGTGGCCAGTGATGTTGAGCATCTCTTCATGTATTTACTGCAGGCCCTGTGATTTAGCAATAATTTTAAGCCATATGTCCTTGTCCAATTTGTTCCCACCACTGATTCCCCAGCCCTGGAGCTTGGTAACCATTATACAGAGAATGGCTACATCTCTGCAAAACATCCTTTACTGAAGACCCTCGGCAACATTCAGTCAAAATCAGCTCTTGGGTGACAACTCTGTGAACATGGTGACTATAGGTCTTGTGGATAATCTCAGAGACATAAAAGGAGATTTCACCTTTGATATTTCATCCACCACTGGAATCTCAGCATCCTTAACATCATTCCCAGGAACTTTTCCCAGAGAGGATGAGCTGCATCATGACTTAGACACCCAGGCCCAGTCCTGACAGCTGGGACAATCATAGATAATGCTGCTGGCTCGGCAAAAATCCAGCTGGTCAATTTTGGTTAGAAGGAAACCATGGCTGTGTGTGGAGAGTCTTTCAAACCACCACATCTTAATGAATAATGTTCTGAGCTTGAGCTTTCCTGTGTCATGTCGTGAGGAAGCACCGAGGCAGGCTGCCCTAGGTGTCCTGAGCACTGACAGCCAGTCGTGTTGCAAGTGTGTCTCCGCACGTGCCGAAGAGACCATACACTGAGGTCAGGACAGAGAGGAGCATCCTGGCCAGCGTTTGCCATTTATTTTCTGCAGACCCAGAGTTCACCGTCAGCGTTCTGATATTCCTCCATCTTCACCGTAGATTCCATTATAGACAGAAGGTGCATACTGCCTTTTTTTAAGAGATCTGGGAACAGTTTGGTTATGTAAAACCAAGAAAGAAGTTGAGTATTTAGATGGAATAGAAATGATACTACACTTAACATCTTATACAAAAAAATTCAAAATAGGTCAGAAGTCCAAATTGAAAACCTACAACTATAAATCTTCTAGAAGAAATGCTAGGAGTAATTTTTGTGACCTTAGGTTTGGCAACGAACTTCCACATCAGACCTCAAAAGTATGATCCATAAATGAATAACTGATAAGTTAGACTTTATCGAAATTAAAACATTTTGTTCTACAAAGGACACTAAGAATGAAGAGATATTAGATTGGTAGAAAGTATTGCAAAATCACATCTGATGAAGAACTTGCACATAAAACCCCACATAAACTCTAAAAATGGTAAAAAAAAATAAAAAATAAAAAATATAAACCAAACAAACCCAAATACTCAATTGAAAATGAGCAAAAGATTTGCACATATATATTTTTTTTTCTTTGGTACCAGGAACTGAACTCGGGACCTTGCACTTGTGAGGCAGGCCCTGGCACCACTGAGCTAAATCCCCTGCCCATTGCATAGATATTTTACTAAAGAAAATATACACCATTTTTTACTTAATGAAGTGCAAATAAAGACCATTTACAACTCTAGACAGCTATTTAATAGAATGACTAAAATCTAAAAAATAAATAAAAACTCAATACTATGTCCAGGTGAGAATGTCAAGTAACAAACTATTACATATTGCTAAGAACACAGAATGATATCGTCATTATAGAAAATAGCATGGTATATTTTATAAATTAAAGACTTACCATAAAACTTATCAATCCTAATCATAGGTAGGGAAATGAAAGCATACCCAATGAAAGCCTTCTACCTAAATGTTTATAATGCTCCTGTATTCACATAGCAAAAACTGGAAACAATCCATATGTCTTTCAATGGATAAACTGGCACTTTCATACAAAGGAAGATGACTCGGCAACAGAAAATAATAAACTACAAGTACATGCACCTCTGAAAACCAAGTGAAAGATACAACTGAGGCTTTGCCAACAATTAGAAGCATCTAGGCATTTGTCAAAACTTACATAACCATGCACCAAAAAGATTGAAATTACATTGTATGTACATTTAAAAGTTAATTTTAGCCAGGTGTGGCGGGGCAGGCCTGTTATCCTAGCACTTGGGAGGCTGAGGCAGGAGGATTGCCACGATTTCAAGGCCTGCTTAGGCTACATAGTGAGTTCAAGGTCAGCCTAAACTACGTAGTGAGACCCTGTCTTTAAAAACATAAATTTTTTAAAATTTAATTTTAAAATATTAATTTTAGGGCCGGGGATTTAGCTCAGTGGTTCTGCCGCCTGCCTCGCAAGCAGAAGGACCCGAGTTTGATCCCTGGTACCAAAAAAAAAAAAAACTAATTTTAAAAAACTTTCAGAAAAAGACTTGTCTCAAATTGTAACTAAAAACAAATTTTAAGCAACTAGCTCATATCTTTATATTATCTGGCCCCAAATTAAAGTGATGGGTGGCAAGAATATAAAACAGACTTTCTTCTCGTGATATTATTTACTTCCTTAAACATTAGTGCTCTTCACAGAAAATACAGATCTTCAGAGAAGTAAAAACTGGAAAAGGATGGGGGTGGGTATGTGGCTCAGTGGTAGAGCGCTTGCCTTGCATGCATAAGGTCCTGGTTTTGGTCCCCAGCAGCACCAAAAAAAAAAAAAAAAAAAAATGGAAGAGGCAGGAGGGAGATCAGAGAAGTTAGGAGATGCAATGCTAATTGTTGTGTTTGTACATCGCTCAACTATCCTGTGGCATCTTCCATGCTTGCAGGCTAAGTTTAAAGAACAAATGTTAACAGTGATGAGCCATGGCAAATACACAGTGGTGACCACAGACAGACAATATAAAAACTCGCCTGGGGCTGGTGGATCCCCGGAGCATCATGAGAGCTCTGGAGAAATTATGCACCAGTCTGATTTTCCATGAAGCCTGGAGTGAGTGGGTTTTCTCAAAAGCTCCAGGACACTCCTGGGCAGCATTTCCCTGGGTAAGCAGTCATGAGTGGACATCCAGGGGACTGCAATGAGAGGCCGCTCTATAATGGCTGAAAGTTGAGAGTCCAGTCACACAAAGCCACCCGGCACATTCTTCATCAATAGAGACATCATATGCAATCTGATGAACATATTAACACCATAAGTGAGATCTGTTGGTTTAAGCTGAAACTAAAAACCAAGCCCTTTCTTATCTTCAGAGTTCCCCAACAGTGCCTCACTGCTCACCCAAGGTCAATGCTAGGATCAGATATTTTCTGAAGCATGTTCTTATCTCAGAATTTAATTTCCTCAGTTTGCTGGGTGATCATTCACCACCCGCTTCAAGTGCCAAAAAGCTGGTTGTGATTGTTGTGTCTGTCAACTTGACTTCTGTAAGAACCACCTAGCAGAAGCCCTGGTGTGTCTGGGAATGATTAGCATGTAAGCCACAAACTGAGGAGGGAATCTCCATCCCAGGTGTGGGTGGAACAAACACAGGCTTGTAGCCTGAATGGAATAAAAAGAGAAAGAAGTCTGTCCTTTTTCTTCAAAGAAGCTCCGGACTCTGCCATCGCCTTCAGATGTTGGTCTCCAGTTCTTTCAGGCTTCTGGCACAGGCTCTTCAGCTTTCTAACAGATTCACACTGGTGACTCTGCAGTGAGCTTCCAGGCCTCCACCCTTTGACTGTTACGGGACCCTCGGCTCTTCAGTGTGCAGGCGGCCATTTTGGATTCTTCACCTCTTGTTTCCACAGATGGTCCTTGGGACTCCTCCCCTTTTGATCCTATAAGCCTACCCAGTATATCCCTCACATAATTATACACATGTTTCTTACTGATTCTGTTTCTCTAGGGAGCCTTAACTAAATAAATTTTGGCAGCAAGAATGTTTCAAGAGAAGCAGAATTCTGGGATGAATTTCTCTAATTGATTTAGTGACTTCTGAAGTTGGCAATGAAATTTGATGAGATACAAAGTTGTCATGATCTCTGCCTTTCATAATGTGGAGATAGTAGCAATAGTACATGGTGTGAACTGCTTAAAGTAATATACAGCGTAGATCCGTTTTCTTATTCTAATTCGCCACTTGTAAGATTTAAGGTTAATGACTATATACAATACTTTTGGACATTTTTTGAAGAGTCGGAAATATAATGATGTTGGCTCCTTGCTCTTGGCATCTCTGGACAAACTACTAAAGGAAAATCATGAGTTCAAGTCATGCACAAACAATCTAAAAGCTTCTACGAATGAAGACAGAGTAATAAAGGAAAATCAAGAGCTCAAAGATTCAAACTCCCAGCTGCAGGCGTGCATAAAAAATCTAAAGGTTTCCAAATGCGTCCTGAAGGAAAATCTTCTTACTTATGGCTGTAAGGCTGAAGTTGCTGAAAAGCAAACACAAACCCTCATAATTCAGTTGCTGAGTGGAACACTCAGCCTCAAAGGACATCTGAAGTGAAAGTGAGGATGCTGATCGGACAAAAGGATCTGTAAACTGAGATGGAGATGTTTGAGAAGAAGTGGAGAAAGCTTGGGACACTGAACTCCTAAATTCTTTTTCTTAATTTAAATTCATTGTTCTTAGTACATGGTTCCAGTACACAATGATTACATTCCTCACTGGGAGTTGGTACTTGCACACATCTTAACAATTTTACTTCCCTTCCTCTTTCTCCCTCCCCCTCCCTCCAACCCTTGGCCGCCTTCCATTTCCTTCCTCTCTACCCACTTCTGCCTGTAGGCCCATGACCGGGCTCAAATCTGAGAACATCCGTAAAGATGAGGTACGTGGCATGACCAGTGAGGAGGTCCACTCCACTCCCACGGAACTTCTTGAGTTTTCTAATTTTCACAAGCAGAGATCTGAGGGACAAGTATGGGGATGGATTTTAAGGGTACAGGATGAAGGTGGAAGAAACAAACCTGGATCGGGCTGAGCGTGACATGGCCCATTAAGTAGAAATTCTGAATTTAATGGCACAACTCGGGAAGTTAAAAAAGATGACAACACTTTTATTTGGATGGTTGGCTAAAGTATGGATCAAAAGATAGCCCACTGTGAATGAGCTGGAGGTGCTGGATATTCTTTGGTTTACTATTGATGTGGGGATTCAAAGGCTTAGGGAAACAGGAATGCTGGAGAGGACTTACCAGGTAAAACCTAATCCTCCACACTGGGAGGATCCATAGAATGTATCCCTCACTAATATCTTAAGAAACAGATTTGTGAGGTATTTTTGAAGAGCCCTGTTGTTGCTCTTCTCTGTATGTCAGCCCTTACAGTAGGGCCGAAGGCACACAACTGGGAAACTTTTAAAGGCATTAGGTTTAATTGAATCTCAGAGTGGCAGGGGCCAAGTGGTAGCAGTAAACTGCCAAGGGCAAGGTAGGCAAACTTACTGTAATGGACAGCACAAATAAAGCAATGATCAGAATGGCCAGACACCTGTAGACCTATGGCATTGGCTGATTAGTCATGGTGTTCCCAAGAGTGAAATAGGAAGCCTACTAAATTTTTACTGGATTTATATAAGCAGGAATATTTTAGGGCAAATAAACTAAAATCTACCTCAAATCATAGCAACAGAGAATCACTGCCCCTCGACCTGGGTACAAACTTGAGCCCGTTTACAGGCCCAGAACCCCTTGATTGAAAGAGAAGCCAGGTCTCCTTGGGGAAGGACCAGGTACACTACCAAAATGTTACACTATCAGGCTCTCTCCCATCGTTCCCCAAAGAGACCTAGGGTCTTTGACTAGGGTAACTGTACATTGGGGAAAAGAAAATGAATGGACATTTCAAGGACTACTAGACACTGGTTCTGAACTAGTACTGAGTCCAAGAGATCCAACATGTTATTGTGCTGCTAGTAAAAGTCCCCACTGTCACCTATGGATGTCAGGTGATCAATGGAGTGTTAGCCAAAGTCTGACTCACAGCGTCTTTGTTTTTGTCATGACCATTTCTCTGGAGATAGTTTTAAAAGCTGTATTTCAGCTGGGCATAGGGGCACACGTCTGTAATCCCAGAACTTGGGAGGATGAGTCAGGAAGATCACTGAGTTCCAGGCCAGCCTAGGCTACATACATAGTGAGTTCAAACCCAGCTTGAACTAGAGTGAGACCTGTCTCAAAACAAAAAACAAACAAAGTAACAATAATAATAATAAAAGCTTTGTTTCTGGTGAGGCTTTGAAATCTCAGAACCAAAGGTACACAACCTTTTGACAGATAGTTGGAGCTCTCTTTCCATCTCTGCCACTTTCGCACCTGGCAGCTGTTCCCAGAGCTGCTCACCTTCCCCCAGTTTCCCCAAACAATGCCTGTCTTAACGACAGCTCAGCATAATGATTTTTTTCACTTTGTGATGATGTGGAAATGATAGGCATTCAGTAGAGACCACACTTGAAATGGTGAAGTTTGGATCTTTTCCTGGGCTAGCTATATGTGGTCTGATCCTCTCTGCCAATGACGGGCAGAGGCAGCAAGCTAAGCTTCCAGTCAGCCCCAAGATCACCACAGGAAGCAACCCACACCCTACAGCGTGCTGCCGGAGCAGTGTAGGGGTATTATGTGCATTTTCCACTTACCGTATTTTCAGTTTGTGCTGCGACCTCACCATACTTGAAGATCTGTAATTATCCGGTACAGTCTAAAATGCCCCATAATTTTATTTTTGAGAAAATTATAAAGGACATAAAAGTACACTATTAAATATAACAGTTACTGTAGGTTTCTCAAATACATCTTTTATCTAGTTTGCTATTTTTTAAATTTTATCTGCAACCATTCAGATGTTATTGTGGTAAATTACACACAGAGTTTCTAGTGTTGAACCATCTATGATTAAGGCCTATTTGTCAGTATATATATATGTGATATATACATTCATATGTTCATAAACTGCTGTCTTCAATTTACCACAATTTGCTTTTTAAAGAACATTATGAAAGAAAATTTTTGACATATAAATAACATGTTTCCCTGTAGAACCACTGTGGCTAAAGGTGGGTATTTCCTCAGAACCACTGAAGAGTCACTAGCCTGGAATCCAGAATTCCCAAAACATAAGGAATAAGCTATTTTCACAGATAAAAGATTATGGACCCAAACTATTAATTATGTAAATATACAAGGATGTATGAGTGAATAGATAAGAACCAAATTTATTATTTGTAATGCATTTATTGTTCACTCTTGGTAATTACCATGATGCCCAACATTGTACAAGAGCTCTGCCAATTAGTGAGTAGCTTACTTATAGATGAAAACAGTGTAGCCTTGGAATGATTGGTTTTTTGCCACTGTGTTCATAATTAAGTTTGGCAATTTAATGTCTTGGATTTTTCTTATCTGGTTAGATATTGACAACCTCCTTAATACCCTCTTCACATGAGTTGGCCAGCCATTTTGATCTGCCATATTGAAAAATTAAATCTTCATCCACCGTAATAAGTCAATAGATAAAGTCCAGGGGCCGGGGATTTAGCTCAGTGGTTCCGGCACCTGCCCTGCAAGCGCAAGATCCCAAGTTTGTTCCTCGGTACCAAAAAAAAAAATAGATAAAGTCCAAAGTTGATTAGTTACAAAAATAGCAATATAAGCACTGCTGAAAACCAAGAAAGTAAATACCGTAAGAAACATCTGAAAAGATTTAAAGTGTTTGCCTCTGTGGAAGAGAAAAACAAACTAGAAAGTGCTTTTGAATGTTACAGTAGTCCTTTTAGTTTTACTTTTCCTCATAAAACAAGAATGTAAAACCATTTCACATTCTCTTAAACCATTCTTATCAAACTGGTACTACTTTGATAAAACTAAAGAAAAAATTTAGATCTTATGAAACTCAGAGAAATGGCACAAAATCTACTTTGAAATCTGTGACATCTCCTCTTGGGTTTTCCCTTGTTTGGTCAGGATTTCTTTATCCACCAAGAACACATGTAAGAGTCATGAGTTATTTCCCAAGCTTACCTCAGTATATTTTGCACTTTTAAGTCTCTGAATATGTGAGAGTTCTTCTTCATCCCCTGTAGCATGCTGAAATACTGGCTTTCCACCAAGCGAATGCTGGAAGATACTGTTAACCTCCCACCAGAAAACAGGTAGTCAGCCATTGTGATGGTTACCCACGGTGTCAGTTTGAATTAAGAAATGCCAGGTTGATTGGTTTAACATAGTTCTGGGTGTGGTGATTGACTTTATGAAGAGGGAAGACCCACCCTGAGTGTGGGTGGCACCAACCAAATCGGCCGGTAGCCTGGAGGGAATAAAAAGCAAAGGTAAAAGGAAGCCTCACGTGTTTCTTCAGAAGAGCTCAAGTCTTTGCTCTCACCTTTGGACATCCGTCTCCAGGCTTCCTACCCAGACCCTTCGGCCTCCTGATACAGATCACACAGAACTCTGCAGTGAGCTCCACATCTTTGACTGTCCACTGGGTCCTTCAGAATTCCAGTGTGCAGAGGGCGGTTTTGCATTTTTCCACACCGGCCTCTGCAGGCGGCGCTTGTAAGCCTACCTTGTAAATTCTGTAGCGCTCCTGTACTGATTTTCTTTTGTTACTTGATGTGAGATTATTGTTGATGTTCAGCTCCCAAACCCAGCCCTGCACTTCCCTGTAGGAACCCATGACTGTTCTAATTTAAATTAATTGAAGTAAAAAAAAACCTCGGTGACTTGGTGACACTAGTTGGCCTCCTGTGGTTGGTGGTTACCATCCTAGGTCAGCACAAGGACAAAACATGTCCGCCATGGCAGAACGTTCTGTTGTAAGGTGCTGATCTAGACCATGCATGAGATCGGTTCCTTTCCAACTCATGTTCTTCCCTCGTTGCTGCAGGATTCGTGAATTGACCCCGGAGTCCCAGGTGGGAGAGAGGAACGAGTAGAGGCGCAGCTGGGGCTGCACTGAGCCGTGGGCATGGCGCAGTACAAGGGCAGCATGCGGGAGGCCGGCCGGGCCATGCACCTCATCAAGAAGCGCGAAAAGCAGAAAGCGCAGATGGAGGTGCTGAAGCAGCGCATCGCTGAGGAGACCATCATGAAGTCGAAGGTGGACAAGAAGTTCTCGGCCCACTACGATGCCGTGGAGGCCGAGCTGAAGTCAAGCACGGTGGGCCTGGTGACCCTGAACGACATGAAAGCCAAGCAGGAGGCTCTGCTGCGGGAGCGCGAGATGCAGCTGGCCCAGAGGAAGCAGCTGGAGGAGCACGAGCTGCAGCTGGAGATGCGGCGCGAGAAGGAGCACAGGCAGGAGTGCAAGCGCAAGATCGCCAGCCTGTCCTTCTCACTCGAAGAGCTCGACGGCGACGGGGACGACGGCGGGGACCAGGACCCAGTGGCCCAGACCAGCAGGAACAAGAAGAGCCTGGGCAAGAACCCCGACGTGGACACCAGCTTCCTGCCGGACCTCGAACGCGAGGAGGAAGAGAAGCGGCTGCGGGAGGAGCTGCGCAAGGAGTGGGAGGCCAAGCGCGAGCAGGTGAAGAGCGAGGAGATGGAGCTCACCTTCAGCTACTGGGACGGCTCGGGGCACCGGCGCACAGTGCGCATGAGCAAGGGCAGCACGGTGCAGCAATTCCTGAAGAAGGCGCTGCAGGGGCTGCGCCAGGACTTCTACGAGCTGCGCGCGGCCGGCGTGGAGCAGCTCATGTACATCAAGGAGGATCTCATCCTGCCCCACTATCACACCTTCTATGACTTCATCGTCACCAAGGCCAGGGGCAAGAGCGGGCCGCTCTTCAACTTCGATGTGCACGACGACACGCGGCTGCTCAGCGACGCCACCGTGGAAAAGGACGAGTCGCATGCAGGGAAGGTGGTGCTGCGGAGCTGGTACGAGAAGAACAAGCACATCTTCCCGGCCAGCCGCTGGGAGCCCTACGACCCTGAGAAGAAGTGGGAGAAGTACACCATCCGCTGACCCGCCCCGGAAGGAGACTCGCCGGAACAGGAAATGCTCAGATTTCTAGGCTCTGCAGACTCCAGCTTGGCTTGGTGACCTGCATTTCTCCCTGAAATTTAATAAAGCTAGAGGGTTCCCGTTATCCCAGGTTGGTCATTCCGTTGCTGCCGTTGTCCTTTGTTGCTTGGTTCGTTTTTCAGACTATCCTTAGTTTTCTGTGCAGTTCACTGCCTGGCTCTGATGTGCTCTGTTAGACCTTGGCCAGGCAGACCATGTGATGAAAGAAGGGGCACATTTTTGGCCAAACGATCATGAGCATGGGTTGTGGATCCTGACTAGCAGGGCCCAGTTACCCTCCTCAGCTTCTTACTCAATGTGTAGTTTTGAGCAAGTTTATTAAACCTCGGTGCCTTAGTTTCCCCACCTGTAAAAGGAAATAGCAATACCACCTACCTCGTAAGGCTAATGTGAGTTAAATGAGTTAATGTTTGTAAAGCACTTAGAGTTCAATAAATGTCTCCTGTTCTTCTTACGATCTTGATTGCTTTATTTAAAGATTGCTATGATCCAGTCCTGAAATACTGAGATGATCTGTAGGCCCCTCTTCAGTCTCTGGTTCCCTCTCTTACCACGTGAGTCCCTCCGCTCTGCACATGACCAATTCCTTTTCTGCTAACACGGCCAGGGGAGCCCTCGCCAGAGCCAAGGAGATGCTGTAAACCATTTGTTTTATGGTGGTGTTGATGAGGTGCTAGGGATTATAATCTCTTTCCTATATGCATTACCCAGTGTCAGTACTGTATTACAGCAACACAAAATGCACGAAGACATATACTAACCTGAAATTTTCATTGACAAAATGAAAATGTGCTGGAGGTGAACCAGCAGTCTCTGACACAGATGGGAGCTCCAGGGGTGGGAAGGAGTTAAGTGCATCCTCAGATCCCAACATCTGCCAGGCGATTTGATAGGCCGTATTTTAACCAGTTATCACAGTAACATCTCAAGATGTTGGTGTTATTTGCCTGGTGAAGACAGAGTTCAGAGGGTCTAAGTCACTGCAGTGGAGTCACATAAAGTCAGAACTGGGATTTTATGGTATAACAGGAAATATAGTTGGTCCTCCCAGGGTGGAACACAGAGCTCCTAAAACCTAAAACTCCTATCCTGAATGGTAGCAGTGTCTTTTGTTATTCCTAATAAGTCCCTTTACCCATGCCTGAGTTTATGGTATTTGTAAAGCAGGATGGAGTGCCAGATAACTTCAGGATAGGGCTGCTCAACAGAAAGACCTTGTGTTTAGAGAGTTATAGTTTTTGTCACCATCTATGAACCTCTGGGAAGGAGGGGGAGCCTGGAGCTCTGTAAAAGCTGAGCAGCAGCATTGGATGAGCTTTCGGGCGGTAAATGCATCCAGTGCAGGAATAGTGGTGCCTCCCAGTTCCCCCAGGAGAGACACTCCTGCGCTCAGGACCCTGTAGGACCTTGCTCTATGTACCTCTGCATCTGTACCCTTTGTAAAATCCTTTGAAATAAACCAGTAAATGTAAGTTAAATATTTCCCTGAGTCTGTGAGCTCTTTAGGAAATGGAGTCTCTCGGGAACCCATGGCTAGTTGATCTGAAATACAAGGGCTTAGAGTTGGGAATGGTGTCGAAGTGGGGCAGCCTTGTGGCTGTAGGATCTGATGCTGTCTCCAAGCAGGGAGAGTGATGCCAATGAATTTTCGAGTACAGCATGTGTCTGAGAATTGGTCAGGACAGGAAAAAAATCCCACATATCTGGTGTCAGAATTGTTTTGTATGAGTGCTTTGACAAACATGTTCCCTCAGAGATTTGAACCTAAATCTAGTATCAACACCTAAGATTTGCATTTGTAACTTTGTTTGTTCATCATGGTTGCCAATTGTATAAAGAGGTAATTCTACAAGCCTCTGAGAAAAGCATCTGTCCTCTTCCTTCCCTCTCACTTCCCGTTGCCCAGAGGTAACTGCTTTTTTAAGCAGATACTCTTCAAAATTACCTCTGTGTCTCTAAGAATGCTTATCTTGCTGAGAGTTAAGCTTTCAGTTATAAGCCTTGCCCCTTGCAAGGGACAAAGAAGCTCTCTTTCTTCCCCCTATTTCTGTCAACCCCTACCACACGTGCACACTCTCGACCCCCGTCTTCCTATAAACATAAAAAGTAATTTTGATTAAATCAATATTCATGTATTTGTAATATGATCATATGAATACTTCACAGTATACATGAACAGCATTTTTTGGAGTTAATAATTTTCTTCTTTTCTATTTTGATTGAATTTCATGTTCTTAATACTAAGTCAACCTCATACTTCCTGTCATTTGTCTTATCCCCTCTCAATATTAAAGCCATTATTAGCATTGTCAATGTAAATTTTAAAAACAGGAAAAATTCTCCTTAGATAATGAGTTTATTCGGGAGAGGTAGTAGGCTGCAATCTGGGTTAGCTGGCGTCATGATGAACTACAGGGTAGCCGCAGCTGTACTCAAGGAGTCAAAGCAGGATTTTAAAGGACAATGAGGAGGATTACAGAAGTAGTCTGAGACACAGAACACCGGTTATGGGTGCCTGTCTCAGGAGTGGCGTCAGTTTATTGGCGAAGAGAGTGTGTCAGGCAAATGTTCCTGGACGTCTGACTAGCTGTCCTTGTGATTCATGTAGCAAGCTGGGCTTCGGTTGACTCTCTTGGGATAATTTCTGCGATCAGGCAACTGCTGGTGTGTGAGAATTCTGCCTTTGTGGCCTCCTGGCTCTGTTTGGCCAGGGTTTGACGAGGCAGCCCTATTTGGATTCTGACAAGTTTTAGAGCATATTAATCACAGATATTTTTCAAATTCCTGATCTGATTATTCCAGTATTCCTGTATATCTGACTTTTTTGTTCAGTTTCTTCAAACTGTATTTTTTTTTTTTTTTTGCCTTTTAGTATGCCTTGTACACTTTTTCTACTGAAAGTTAGAAATGATGTACTGGAACTGCTGTAGATAGGCCTTTACTGATACCGAATAAGGCTTGGAAGGGTAAATGTTCCATGATCCAGTGATTAGGATTTAGTCTATTACTGAGCTTGCATGACTCGAGTGGGAACTTCATGCCCATCTCCCAGCCTCCATTCCCACCTCAGTCTACACATTCGCCACTTGGATGGGACTGGATGGCTGGAAGAGACAGGAATTGCGTGTTACCCTTCTCTCACACCGAAAGCCAGAGCTGGCTGGAGTTGACAGTTACCCTTCCCCAGTTTGGTTAGACTCTGATGGTAACCTGCACGTTAGCCTCTGGTTAACCAGTTTCTCCTCAGGGCAGGCCTTGTTAAGAACAGAGGGTTCTGACATATTTTTAAATGGCTCCTGTCCTCCTCCCATTGTCAGAAGTATGGGGGATTTTCTTTAATGTTCACTGTGAGCACCTGGTTGAACTCATGGAGGTAAAACTCCTAAATGCATGGCCCCTGCTCTGACTGGCTCTCCCTGGGGTGCGTAACTCTCAGATTTGTGAACTGGGAGCCTCCAGCAATTCAGTAATTGCAGGGCGCTGGCTTCTGCAGTTTCTGCTGGTGGGTTCTGCTCAGTTAGGTGTGATTCTCTGTATCTTCCTGTCTGGCTCTCTACTTTTGGAAACATCGATTTGCTCGGTGATTTTACTTTCTCTGCTTTTCTAGTTTGTTAGGGTTTTTTTCTTATGTTTAGGATGGAGTGGTGACTTCTAAGCTCTGTATAGAACAGACCAAGAACCAGAAGTTCCCCCTCTCAATATTTAGAAGCATTAAGCATCCCAATAATTTCAGTTTCTTGAAAATCCACCTCCTGCAGCCTTTCCACCTGCATGCTCTATACATCTGGCTGAGGTTCTGGACACTCCCTTTGCCATTATCCTGAGAATCTGCCTCACCTCTCTGCAGCTTAAATCCTGTTTTCTAGGTCTTGGGCTTCCCTGCCTTCTGGATTTGTTTCGTTTTGTTGATAGAGTATATCCTCCCATTGCTTTATCAAGGATATTTGAGAAGTGTCTGTTTATAGAGTGTAAAGAGCCAGACTCTTTTACCTTCCTTCATATTGACATTTGGCAGAAAGGAAATCACTTCCTCTCACAATGTTAAAGGCATCGCTCCACAGTCTTACCATTTGCTTTCTTCATGATTCCATTGGACCCAATTAGCAGAAGCTCAACCAGGAAACCACCAGGACATACATCCCTGACCTGCCACCGAGCAGTGGTGGACCCGCCTCCCCTTCTCCTCTCCCCTCTGCACATTCGGGCTGTCCTGCCCTGCCCTGCCTGCCCTGCCTGCCCCGCCTGCCCTGCCTGCCCTGCCCTGCCTATGCAGTGCCCATCAAACAGGGCTTCTTCTCACAGACAGGTGCTTACTGCTTTCCTAAGTCATCTCATTTCAGGCCTCTCCCCAGAAGTCCTCACCTGGCATGAGTTCTCCATCGCTCCTCTATTTTCCATAGCGCTTTGTACTCGTCCTGTATTCAGTGTTAGGCTATGCTTTTTCTCTCGTTTCTGTGTTTCTTCGTAACCTCTTTATGCCCGGAGGACAAGACTTTTTGATTTCTGTTTCCCCAGAGTGTCTAAATCACAGAAATATGCATTCGACTGGGTTGAAAGCAAAATCTCCTCCAGGATGCTTTAACGTAGCCAACACCACCCATGCCTCATGGAATTCACGAACAAGGTGGAGAGGACGTGGGCCATGGTTGTGGCTCTCTTTTGAATGGATTCATTAGGAAAGTGTTTCCTCCTCAGATGGTACTGATGGCTCACCAGAGACAAGGTACGATATGGCAGGCGCTATCTTAAGGACCTCCACTAAGAAACTGCTCTTGGAGTTATTTCTAAACAGAACTTGTAGCTAATCCTAATGTAACAGGGATGCATATGATGATCAGTACTTAATATTTTCTCCTGTGGTAAATTGGATCAGTTAGAGAAGTGAAGATCCGATCAGCCAAGTCCCCCGTACCTATATTCTCATTGTCATCCGCAACGGCACCTGGCTTCTTAGTTTTCTTCCCACTTCTGTCCTCTGCTTCAAGCACTGTGTCATGGTGGAACATCGACAACATTGTCACCAACTTTTAAAAAAAGGTATCTCTTAAAATGTCTTTATTTCCCAAGTTCTTTGGAACTGTTGCCCTGTCAGAAGGCTCCAAAGTTGCAGTGTGTGCACATGAGTGTGTCTTTTCTTTCAGATGCTTCAGCGATTATTTCTTGGTAAAATGGTGAGCTCTAGAAAAGATTCGGGCCGGCCAGGGTTTGGGTCCTGAGGTGCGCTGGCCCTTGTCCCACTTGCTGTTTCCCACCTGTGAAGTGGCCCTGACCACAGCACCTCCCGCACGTGGTGGGTGACCATGGGGATTCACGGAACCAACCCGGGCTGAGCCTTGGCCGCTGTCACCAGCTTCTTGTCACGCCATTTCTGTGCCTAACTTCACTACCGGATCCGGTTCCCGTCACTGCCTTTGCAATCCCTTTCCCAGATCATTTGGTATCAGATGATCATTC